CAGATTGTTAATTTGAAAGCTCCCTGACAGGTGTAGCATTAAAACATATTACGTTTAAATACAAAGCTGATCATAAATAAAATGAACAGGAATGCATGAGTTACTGTCCTGAAATGTCTGCATGCACAGAAGTTTAATTACAGTGGGAAGCTTGCTGCTTAGTTATCCACTAGCCAAGATATTCCTTGTGCAATATCCTGCATGAGTGAGAAATGAGTAATTTAGAGCAGTCTGGGGCATATTTTAATTAATTTGTAAATATAGCTTTTTAAGATTTAATCTTTACCGAGTAACATTTATCCATATCTATCTATGGCAGATGTGTTCCTTGGCTGTTTTGGTTATAAGCATTCCTTAATAAAAGAAACCACACACACTGCCTAAGTTAACACTTCGTGGAATCTCAACAGAAAGTACTCTGAAACAAGACTTCATTATAACTTGAAAAATTTACACCCAGCAACAGAAAAGTTAGTAACATATTTTCAGGTTGCCTAACAAACATCAGTCAATCTTTACAAACCTAGCAAGGTTTTTTGCTCCTGGTTATTCATGCTTATGATAAACTGGAAGAGAATCACAGTGCTGCAAACAAACAATATAACCATTGAAGCCATTATTATGCAAAGGCTTAAAAAATAGTACTAATTCAAAAAGGGGTTTCTAAATTATCTGGAACGTTAGACATATGCATTCTGGGGATTATATGTTAGAACTTTTTAAATATATTATCTTCAGTTACTGTACGCAATCTTTCAAAATGTTGAAAGAATAGGCCCAGTTTGTTTGTTTTTTATAATCATGAGCATTTATAAGCAGGACTGAATACTGTATAGCCACAGAATTTTTATGGGAACCTGAAAGCTCAAGAAGAGAAGCCTTAAAGTTGTAATTTTACACAGTTGCCTATAAGAAAATAAAAGTATCATAAAAGACCAGGATTCAAAAGGTACAGTATTCAGAACACCAACAACCAATCTAACCTTAACAGATATTTGCTTCAATCTATTTTGAATTTTATAATTATAAACATTTATTAACATAGATTTTAGCATGTTAGAACTCTTTAAAATAGTATACACTCCTACTGTAAAATACACTCCTCTGCAAGAGAAAAAAATTGGAAGAGATCACCCCAAGCAACTATTGCATGTACATCATACACTGTAGTTTTCTCACAAGATATTCTAAGCAATACATAAAATTTTCATACTTCTTCTTAAATGAAAACTATTTATACAGTTTAAAAAATTGGAACAATTGAAGCTACACTACACTGGTTAGTTTAATTGTTGTGGCACCCCTTATAGCATGCCAGAAATTGTTCTCAGAATATGTGATTCACAAGACATAATTCTAACAAAATTGTTTACACTGATGAACCTTAATTGTCCGTATTAAAATAACTAAAAATATATTAAGGAAAAACAAAATATAAAGGAAAAAAAAACATAATATACCAACCATTTGTATCACTGAAACAAATCTAAATGTTTAAAAAAGTCCATTAACTGCATTCCTTCAGGCTGGTTCATTTCTCAGTGCCCTAGAAAAGTTGGCTATATTTAATCTTAGTTCAGTTCATTTCCTAATTATTTGATTATGATCATTTAGAAGCCAAAAAAGTGACAGTTTTTAAAAATTATGTTAATGCTCCCAAATATCTAAAACTACTAATTAATCAAAGACACAAGTTTATTTAATATTTATATCTTACATTTCCAAGTTATAAGCCAACAACTTACATTTTAGGCAACTGGGTCGTAATTTAGGTAACCAGGTCTAGAAGTTGGGACCTTCTTTCATGCCAGCACAGCTGAGGCCTTCTTTCATGTGCCTGCCTCAAAAAGGACCCCTTCTAGCCAAGCCTTTCTTTCTACACACAAGGGTTTGTTCCCAAGGTCGTGGATGGCGGTTTCCTCACAAGACCTGGGGAAGATGGCCTCACATAGTCAGCAGCTGCCTTGAGAAGGCCCAGAGCAGGCACGTCTCATCGGCAGCAGGAGCAAAAAAACAGCGAAGGTCAGCCGGGGCCTTGGAGTGCAGGCTAGCAAGGGAATCTGGGACTGGGCTGGGGTGGCTGAGGCTTCCCAGAGTGGCTGTGGCTTTGCTCTGTGCTACTGGGGCAGCTGAGGCTTCCTGGGGCGGCTGGGGCTTTGCGCCACGCTGTTGGGCCAGGCTGGAACGGCTGAGGCTTCGTGCTGCAGCTCAGGGACTTCTTGCAGTTCCAGAGCTGCGGCGTGCCAAGAAGCTCCTGAGCTGCAGCATGGCAAGCAGCTCCAGAGCCACATAATTCTGGGGCTGCTTGGCGTCCCACAAGGCAGGATGCAGGGAGGCCAAAACGGTAGAGATGGGGGGAATAGGCAATTGGGGGGATTTGAAGGGGGACAGTCCCTTACCTTGGAAGAATCGAAGCTCGGGCTGGGAGGGACCAAGCCCAGAATGGCTTGGATTGGGGTGGGTCCTCGGTTAACGACTGGTGGAATTTGGTTAATGACGATAACAGGGAGTACTGGGATTAATGTCACTAAGCGATGCGGTCACGTGATATTGCCTTTTATGACATTGCTTAGTGATGGAAATTCCAGTCCCAATTACCATCGTAACTCGAAGACTACTTGTACCTAAAAATATTCAGAAAATTTTAAACATAAAATTTGTACTGAAACCACAAATATTTTGATTAGGAATAACTACAGAAAATGTAAATGAAACATATCACAATTTACTAAGATATATGCTGATGGCTTCAAGAACAAATCTGGCACAAAACTGCAAAAGTGAATTGCTGACAGTACAAGATTGGAAGACCAAAATTGGAGAACATGCAGTAATGGCAATTTGACAGTATATATTTATAATAAAAACCTAATTAAATTCAAGTAGGAATGAATAAATTTATTGATAAAAGCATATGGTATCTTGAAGTGATGTTAGGGATATGCCTGCTAGGGACATGAATGTCTATGCACATTTGTATGTTGTTGGCTGAGAATCTGAATGATTTTCAACAAATGTTACATTGTATGATGAAATGAGTTTTGATCGATTATGTGCCATCAGGTTGTTTTTGACTCCTAGTGACCACTTAGATAGATTTTCTCCATGAGATGAAATGAGAATGGATCTGAAAATTAATGTATCAAAGATCAAGATAGTTGTATCTGATAAGGAAAACTGTCAGGCCTAGCCCAAGGAACTCCAAGAGACAATGCCAATTCAATCCAGCTATGTTTATTAGCTACAACCTCTAGCAAGAATTTTCCCAGACAAAAACCC